CTGTTCTTGTTCTACAGAGAATGGAAATTGGAAGTCAAACACCCTTTGTATTCCAAAATAGGGTCTCAAAACATTTTGTAATTTTCATTTAAATTGTTAGGAGGCTTGGAGCTATTAGTTAATCTATCTTCCAATACTGTTTAATATAGCACTGAATAAATGATGCGAGTTGTCAATGGATGAGTGATCAACTAATAGCTCTCCTAGTAATTGATTTATTTTTCTTCAATAAAGTTGCATAAACCAATGAGTTAGCTGCCTGGATTAATCAGTATGGGAAACAATCCTTTGTAAATGCAAAGCTGTTTTTGTATATACTGTTGGGATTTGCTTCATTGTTTGACATCAAATGATGATGTAAAGTTCAAAAGAGTGAATATATTGCCATGTTCAGTTAAAGTGCACAGTCTGTTACAGGTTGACACATTGCTTGACCTGATTTATGCAGAATTAATAAGCTATTCAGATAGTGTAGCTTTAATATGCTGCACATGATTCTGGCAGCCCTAGAGTTCATAAATGGACTTGGGACTCAGCAGTTTTGAAACGTGTATATGGAGTTTTAAGAAATTTATTTTCCAGGTGCATCCCCTTCTAACTAAAATTTCTTCATCTTGTACACTTAACAGCTGAAAATATATATATATATATATAACTTGGGAGTAATAATGGGTCAAAATTTACAAAATAAAGTACTGTTTTGGTGTGGGAGTTGTCATGAGGCTGTGTTGAAGTGACTTAACTGTGGGATATTGACTATCCATTGAGATGGATTTGTTCAGCCATTTACATTAATGAGCATTTAAATGCAACAGATACCATTTCAGGTGACTTAACATGAATGAATAAAAGTCAATGCTATTGGATTGTTTGTTTGACAAGTGCTATCTGTGCCACTAAATCTTCTGTAGTAATAAGGGCATTATCATTCTTCACCCTAATTCTGAACCTGTAGTTTCACTTTTTTTCTAGATTTGATTTATCCATTGTTTTATTTCGTAGTCTTGTATTTGATTTCTAGCACATGTGATGTCTCCACTTCCACATTTTTGCACTGCTTATATTCACGTGCAATCTTACTCCTTGTCTGCACACAGATGTGGAAAGCTAGAAATAAATGTAAAAGCTTAATTTTTTTATAAACATTTAAATATGTAATTTGGACATGATTTGTTGACTTTAAGGTTCTTCTCTAAACTGGAAGTGAAGTGCATGCCTTCTGAAGATGTTCTGGCTTTATTCTGTAATAAGTATTTGCATTGGGAAATAACCAATTCAGTTATTCACTTTTTCCAGTGAGCCCTCCATCCCTAATTTTACCTTTTGTTTAAATTGTGGGTTCTATGGGGTGTAGGTGTTCTGCTAATTAAAACTTTTGGGTTCAAATCATGAAAAAGTGTTCCCACAAGGTTAAGAATAGTATTCTTTGGCTCTTTTACAAAAATGGTCCTTTCTGAGACTCTTGTACTCAACAGCTTTAGTAGGCCTATGTTTTGAAAGCCAAATATGACAAAACCATTTTTATAAAGCAGTGGATCCCTGAATGGCTTTCAAACTGATGCTTTTTTTTTCCTTTGCCTTTGGTATTTACAGAGATGAATTCCTTAAACTGATTGTCAGAAATAATGGGTACGTCCAGTTCTCTTTATCTTTGACTCGATGCTTTATACAACATTTCATATGTCGCTTCTAAGGGAAAAAGCCATAGAGGCTTCTCCAGGTTTAAGAGAACAGTTATAGTACCTGGAAAACCAACATTCTGAATGTATGGGCACTGGACTTGGGATCACCCATGATGAGATTTCAAAAGAATTCAAGAATTTGCTCTCTACCCTACCCAGTAGTGTTTGGCATCACTAGTGCCAGGTATAGGACTAAAGTGAGTATTAGGTCAAATATTGGTGTAGACTATTTGTGTGTCCTATACTTTTAATGCATAAATTTTTAAGAATTTAAATTTGTCTTTGGAGTCCAGTTGGCCTGTTAATGGTAAATTTTGTTTTGACTGTTCTTTCTTGGGCAGGTTTGCAATGTGATAATCAGATTTTTTTTTTAACTGATTAGTTTGTTTCCTTGTGTGGGTGTACTCACATTTAAAAGTATGAACCACAGTTAACTAGTGGTCTCAGGGGTAGTGAAACACTCACTTTTTATTTTAATGGGTTAGTTGAAGTATACTTAAGACACTGATCATGCTGTGTTTGTGATTTTGGGGGGGGTGGGGAGTACTAAAATTAGTCATGTTTTGTGTTGACATAACAAAACTGTTCAATGACTGTTGGTTACACTTTTAAGTGAATTTGTCTTCTATTTTATGAGGAACCCAGTGCAAGTCACTAAATATTGTCTAATAGTGACATCTGCATAAGACTTGTAATAGCTAAAGTTAATTGAGCTTAAAGGAATTGTTACCATTAAAGTCTGTGTTTAAACACACTTTGGTCTTACTCAGTAATTCAGCTAACATGAAGTCTACACTTGTATTTAAAATTGTATGAGCTTGAGTTTTGAACATACACTGAAGTAGCCATTATAAAGAAACTGGTGTTGGAAGGATTGGTACAGGATTGGGTTACAAAGTGATTCAGAACCAGAGTCATTTGGGATGTTTTAAAATGCAAGCCAATGGGTCCTGCCCCCACTTCTGATTGAAAACTATGAAATGTGGAGCTAGTCGCTCCACATGTAAAGACCAAATGATTCAAAGACTGGCCTGAACAATTACCCCGAGAAAAGTTCTAGGTACTTGGCAGCTGTAGAGGACGTGTTGATCATTCCTAAGTATTAGACCGTTACCTGACTTCTCACTGTGGAAGTTAAGGTTTAAAGAAGGCTTGTAAGAATTTGAGCTTATGGGTTATTGTACTGTAAGGCAGTAAAGCGTTTTTCTCAATGCATTTTGAAAAACAGTAAACATCTAGAAATGGCTTTTGGCACCTGCAAATGCTCTAGAGTGCAGTGTTTCTTAGACAAAATGGGAATCTGGCCACCACTTGAAAACTGTTTCTTGCTACGTGGACCTTAGCCTTGCTATTAAAGAGTAATGATTAACCTAGGCACATGGTTTCTGCTAGTTGTTTCTTACACAGTCTTCAACGTTCTAAAATTTCTAATTTACCATAAGCAAATTGTGTAACATGAGCACAGAGGTCATGGGTCAAGCAAATGGCTGTTCGTATCACTTAGCTTCCTGTCATACACCTGTCTATATAGATCACATCTTTAGAATGTTTTAAATTCTCTGGAGACACACTTTGCCTCTTAGTCTCTAAGTATTCAGTGTACTGACTGGCAAAGGGCATCTTTCTAACAAATGATTCATCTAGGTTCTGCCATAAACCATTCTGACCGTGCTATGAAGTGCCATTTACAAATTTTGTATTGCAGTCTCCCCACTTTTCAACATGGGAGCAGCCTATTCCATGGCACAATTTTGACCAGAAGAGGTTAGAGGTACCATGCCATGGTTTTGTTCGGAGACTGTCTCACTGTGTAGCCTGGAGTTTGTTTAATGTAGATCAGACTGGCCTCGAACATCCCTGCCTCTGCCTAGGGTTAAAGGCATGCACTTCCATACTCAGCCTGGTTTTCAATATGAGTAAAAGTCAAATGTTAATGAGTCTGTAACATCACATGATTTTTAACTTAAGTTTGCTCCACCTCCATTACAATTCTTGTTTACCCAGGTGCTTGCAGACACATGACTACAACTGGTTTTCTCCATGTGCAGATAGATGAGGGTTTTTGTTTGTTTTTATTTAATGTGTGTTTTGCCATGGGTGTCAGATCCCCTGAAACGGGAGTTACAGTTGTGAGTTGCCATGTGTGTGCTGGGAATTGAACCCGGTTCCTCTGGAAGAGCAGTCAGTGCTCTCAGCCACTAAACCGTTTCTCCAGCCCAAAAGATGAGTTTTACACCATATTGTATGGCTTCTTCCCTTATGTATCTCTAATGTCACTTAGAGTGACATTTCTTGAGCATTTCATTTTATACAATTTTATCACTATGGGGTGTAAAAATTGGAGCTATCACCTTGTGTATAATGCATACTTAATCTTGTTTGGATCTGCCCTGGAATGTGAGCTCCATGAGGGCAAGTTTTGTCTTACTCTTATTGAATAACTAGATAACTGGCGTTTTGTAGGTAATTGTTTAGCAAACAATTCTAATCTTTGCTGTCTAGAACAGGGCTTATTTTCACCCCCAAATTAATTCTGGGTATATAGTTGTACAAATCAAACGTCTTCATTTTAAATATTTTTGGAAGATGATTCATATTGAAGTGAGAATGTTTATTTTGCATAAATCTTGGTTGGTGTTGCCATTATATCTCCAGTGTTGTATCAGAATTAAAACTTAATTTTTCAAATTGTCAGCGATGAGGATAGTACCCATAAATACAAAATAAAAATGGCATAAATATATTTAGAATCATTTCAGAACTTGGAAGTTTTACCCTAATCTTAAGCCAAATATAACAGGTTTTAAACAAATTA